ATACAACGGCGTACAAGTATACCCTTGCATACTCGCCTCCTCCACTAGCCGTAGGCTCTGACCACAGCGATTGGAAGCTCTCGCATTTTCCACCGGCCATCTATGGATGGAAACGACTGGTGTTACCATATACCCTTGTATACTCGCCTCCTGCACCAGCCGTAGGCTCTGACCGCAGCGATTGGAAGCTCTTGCATTAGCCATCCATGACCTTCACTGCTCGGAGCTGCGGCAAAGAGGAAGTGGCGGGTCGGTTTGACGAACTGGCAGACCACGCCGCATGCGCCTTTGTGTGGGCATTGAACAAACTGGCAGCAATGTTCGGCAACGGCGATGCCGGCGGCGGCGCCAACGGCAACGCCGGCGGGGGCGCCAACAGGGTGAACATCAACATACAAATCTCATGTTGCACGGGCGGGAACATGGCGAGCGGCAACCAGTTTCAGGGTCCCCCCTAATATGAAGTAGAGATCTGAGTACATGAAGTACTACTATGTGATTTCTTCAAGCATTCTTGTTCTTGGTGTATGAAGACTACACACTTTTTAGTTTACTACGTACGAAATAGAACGCGGAACAGATAAGCTGAGTGACAGTTTCGTCGGGTTGATTGTAGCGGTGGTTTTACTTTCTAATGGAGTGAAAAATGCACCTCTTATGAGAGTTAATTAGCCTCCAGATTGAAAGAAAGATGTATAATTTTATCAAGTGAGTGGGAATAATACTCTATTAGCCTGGTAGATACCAAGTGAATCACTTTTATCACTTATCCAAGATATATCATCTCCCATTAAAGTAGCACTATCTTACAATCCCATCCATTTTTATCTTTGAAGGGCAAGGTATATGAATCTGAGAACAAACTGAATATTCGTTAGATTATCTTGTGGCAGTTGGCACACATCCTAAAGGTAGCCTCCTGGAGTTCAAATTGCAGCTGTCAGGTGTGGATATCGTAGCATAACTTTTGTTCTCTCTCCGTACCAAGCTGCTTCACAGATCCGAAATAGACAAATATAATTACAGAAGTTCAGAACATACACGCACAATATTCTAATGGCATGCATGTATTTTAACTCCCAACTTAATATTCTACTCATATACACATGCAACGGAGGTTCATTCCAACAGTTGATTAATTCATTGGCTGCCGAACAGAAAAAAATGATAGGCAAATACATTTCTAGACCTTCGCAGAAACGGAGATGACGATGTTAACTAATAGATTGATATTCGTCACTTGTAAGAATTACATGTGGTGATATTTACAGCTGATATATACTACTCATTTGTCCTTTCAGGACAACAACACACAAACTTTAAGTAAAACTTAAGCAATATTAGTGAGTGCATTGTTCTCTCTATAGGGGCCAAGTGAGTGGGATTGTTATTTGCTATATTCTGCATGGTCACATATTATATTTCAGTTCCTTCAGCTGAGTGGAGCTGCAGTAAACTACCAAAGAGGTTAACATATTTTGAATGTAAATTCACAAGCAAATTTACTATAGAAACTATCTCATACCATTTACACCGAATGGCTATTGCCGTGAAAAAAGGTTTAAATCACTTGGATATTCGGATGAATGTTTTTATGTTGCTTGTCATGAGACATCTGTTTGTTGGCCACATGAGAAAATGCAATTAGTCTGAACAAGGTACCGACCGACCCTTGACACATCACTTAATTTGATGCTGAAGCACAATAAAATTGGGGAAATATAACCACACATTGTTAAAACCATCCATTTATGTATGATCAACGAGAAAATGGTTCCCACACAAATGAACATAATTTTGTCTCTGCACACAACAAATTACAAATGGCATGGAAATAAGACCAACAGACTGCTAGTTCAAGAACAATACGGACGGACTGCTATGTACAAAGTCATAAGTGCATTCTGGCTGGCACATTGTTTGTTGAATCTTTTGTTTATTTGCCTACCAATTCTCTCGCCTGATCTTGGCCTTTTCAAATATGAACTTGCCTTCCTTGTACTTCTGGGACTCCTCATAGGCCCTCTCGTACTTCCACCCGAGCATCTCCTCGCAATCACAGCAATGGATGTCGGTGACCGTGTGGAGCCCCGTCATGAGCTTCCTGTCCTCCTTGGCCCCTGTAGTGAAGTTCATGGTGTGGGAGGAGAGAAACGCGCGGCCATTCCTCCCCTACAACAGCAGTTGAAAGAACAAAGGTACTATTGGTGAATGGTTCTATTTAGAATCCCTAGTTGGTACTCTTATTGATTTTAGCTCGACATCCCCCAACCAGTCCAACATATATTACCGGTCCATCTAATACAAGTCGCTATTTATTGGTTAAGTTCTGCCTGTGTCCACTCTTGATCCCTAACGCAGGGCCTAGCGCAGGGACCAAGGAGAAGCAAATCAATTATCCTTCCCTTGGTGAAATTGTTCACCTGGAAGGCCATGGAGATGATATCATCGTGGAGGCAGACGTGGTTCCGGCAATGGTGGCAGCTGTACACCCGCGGCCCGACCAGTTCCGCCATCTCTCTCCTGCAACCAATCCGATTCACCAATTGAATTAGGAACCTAACAACCACACAATGATAGTGGACAAGTACTAGTATGTAGTGCTCCAGAGTAGTAGAATACATACACCGGAATGACCAAACGACGACTGAATATGACTAATAACCATTGCTACTTCTCTCTGCTCAATACTTTATATATGCAGCCATCTGTCTGTTGATGAGTGATGAAATGTGTTTGTGTTGTGTTGCTTGTCATGAGCCATCTGTTTGTTGATCAATGATAAAATGCAACTAGTTTGAACAATTGGGGAAATACAACCACACATTGTTAAACCATCCATTTTATTTATGATCAATGAGAAAATGGTTCCCACGCAAATGAACGTGATAATTTGTCTCCCTACACAACAAACAATAAACCATTTCAAAGAACAAATTACAAATGGCATGGAAATAACACCAACAGACTGGTAGTACCGATCCATACCAGCATTCTGGCTGGCACATGGTTGGTTAAATCTCTTTTCCATTTCTTACCAGTTCTCCTGCATGATCTTGGCCTTCTCAAATATGAACTTTCCTTCCTTGTACTTCTGGGACTCCTTGTAGGCCCTCTCGTACTTCCACCCGAGCACCTCCTCGCAATCACGGCAATGGATGTCGGTGACCGTGTGGAGCCCCGTCATGAGCTGCCTGTCCTCCTTGGCCCCTGAGGTGACGTTCATGGCGTGGTACGAGAGAAACGCGCGGCCATTCCTCCATTGCAACAGCAGACGAAAGACAAAGGTACTGGTATTTATCCTCCAAACACAAGCAAAATTGAGATAGACAGATGATAGCGTATCGAGATCTTGACATCTGAAGCCGGTATGGATAGATCACAGTATCCCTGGTTGGTTAAGTGAAACTCCGCTGTGTAAGTATAGAAACACAAATGCTAGCTAAACTCAGTTACAGAAACGTTCTCAGATCGTATTGTCGGACCTCTCCACTGCAGTTGATGTGCCTATTTAAAGTCCCTAGTTGATACTACTAGTAATTTTAGCACGACATCCCCAACCAGTCCAACATAATTGACTGGTCCATCTAAGTCCCTATTTATTGAATATTAAGCTCTGTCGAATCTTGATCCTGAACGCAAGGGCCAAAGTAAGTTCTTCACCAAATAAATAATCCTTGAAGTTATTCTCTACAGATAGATCACAGTATCTCTCTCTGGTTAACTGAAGGACTCCGCTATGTAACACAAATGCCTAAACTCAGCTGCATAAACGTTTGTTCTCAGATTGTTGGAGCTCTCCACCACAGTTGATGAATGAACCTATTTAGAATCCCTAGTTGATACTACTAGTAATTTTAGCATGACATCCCCAACCAGTCCAACATATATTACTGGTCCATCTAAGTTCCTGTTTATTGATTATTAAGCTCTGTAAGTCCAGTCTTGATCCCGAACACAGGGGACAAAGCAAGTTGTTCACCAAATAAATAAATAATCCTTGTTGAAGTTGTTCACCTGGAAGTCCTTGGAGATGATATCGTCGTGGAGGCAGACGTGGTTCCGGCAATGGCGGCAGCTGTAAACCCGCGGCCCGACCAATTCCGCCATCTCCAACCAATCTGATTCACCAACTGAATTCTTTTTACTTTGTCACATGTTTATTTTGTGCACTGGTGCTAGACAGTGAGAATCGGTAGTGGTGAGAATGTATACCAACTGAATAGGCCTCTGTTTAAAAGAGGTGAAGCATACCTACCTTGAATGCTCCCAGAGTCCCACTGCTTCGTCCTTGACCTTGAGTCCTTGGGCACCTGGGAGCAGTTCACCGGTGGCGTGGAGCTGGTTGCTGATACCCTTTGCGCCTGTTTGACTGAAGAAGAAGAAGCATCACTCGACGCGAAATTCCCCATGTCTGCACCAAATTCGGTGACGCGTGTTAGGCCGTCAGCAGCAAGCCAGCAACTGAGCAAGCAGCCGCAGTGTGCTGCCGGCGCCGAACAGCAGGAGCAGCACGGGCCGGTCACGAGCAGCAGCAGCAGCACGTTCGTTCAGGTCGAGGACGTGGGAGACTGCCTAGGGACGGGGGTGGGCGGCGGCGAGCTCCTAAACCTAACCCTAGGTCGCCGCCGCGGGGAGAAGGGGATATATGCATCAAAGTCCCAAGTAAAGAGTGCAAAGAAAATCCCATGAAAAGACTATTGTTTATATCTGATTTTTTTGGGGAGAAACTTTCAGTCTATTTATCATTTGTCATGGTAGTATACAGTAAAAGTAACAAAATGTACATACATATCTGTGGACCAACTGAAAATGACTACAAACACTGAAGCGAGCCGAATGTGCGCCACGTCATCGCCCCTCCCTCGCCAGAGCGGAGCAAACCTTGGTACAGCAGGCTGTCCCGCGGTGCTAAGCTCCCACATGACCAACGCACCAGAACAATAATCGTCCTTGATGAAGAGAAGCGTAAATCGAAAAGATCAAATATGTCGACTTGATGAACGAAAAAGAGAAATGAGTGTGATAGGCTGAGAGCACTGTGCGCATTGCTGCGTTCTTCATGTTGTCGAGTAGTCTTCTCGCGACTAGCCCGGAATACTTAATAGTAAAAACTACTCCCTCCGTCCCACAATATAAGATCGTTTTCAAGTTAGCTTGAAAAACGATTTTATATTGTGAGAGGGAGAGAGTAGAAGCAAATGTGCACCTTTATCGCATCCATTTTTCTTTATGATGTTAAATGTATTTTTCTCGTTTGTTGTGCGTCATCGGTGTGAAGCAACTTCTTGTTTCTTTGCCAGAGCCGTCCCTGGGACATGGCGGTGAGTGCGACGGCCTAGGGCCCAGCCGAGAACGGGGGCATACCCTGTGCATGTCTATTGTATGTACTCCCTCCGTTCCTAAATATTTGTCTTTCTGAATATTTCAACAAGTGACTACATACGAAGCAAAATGAGTGAATCTACACTCTAAAATATGTCTACATACATCCGTATGTTGTAGTCCATTTGAAATGATTAAAAAGACAAATATTTAGGAACGGAGGGAGTATTTTTCAAGAAAAATAAATAAATAGTACGCATGAGAAGCAGCCCAGCCCATTAAGAAGCTTGCAAGTCAACAATCTGTGAATCTTTCGCTCTCCCCAGGAACATGCCGCCAACTCATCATCTCCATCCCGTTCTCATCGTCTTCCTCTTCCCCAAATCCAATTATTGCCCCAAATTCCCAAGAGGCCAAGACCCCAAACCCCAAGCTAATCAATGGAATTTTCGTTACTATCATACTCTAATGAATTTTCGTTAGTATCATAAATAATTTTCTCTTTTGGTGTGTGTCATCGGTGTGCTAAGCAACTTCATGTCTCTTACCAGGGCCGTCCCTGGGCCATGGCGGCGAGTGCGATGGCCTAGGGCCCAGCTCGAGCAGGGGCCATACCCCTATGCATATCTACTGTATATATTTTTCAAGAAAAAAATAAATAATACGCATGAGAAGCAGCCCAACACATTAAGAAGCGAGCAAGTCAACAATCTGTGAATCCTTTCTTTCGCTCTCCATAGGAACACGCCACCAACTCATCATCTCCATCCTGTTCTCATCGTGTTCCTCTTCCCCAAATCCAATTATTGCCCCCAAATTCCCAAGAGGCCAAGACCCCAAATCCCAATCTAATCAATGAAATTTTCGTTAGTACCACATTCTAATGGATTTCTTTGCGCCTTACAAATACCCACAAGGGATCCGGAGAACGGAGACACATAGGCGAGTTGACCAGCAACGACACTCCCTGTGCCCTAGCAAGAACACTGAGAGCAGCAGCATGTAGCCTTGCTGTCCATCATTAGGGTCGTGGTCAAGGTCCAAACGTTCGAGGCAAGCAGTTCCTTGTAACATTTTGCATCTCAACTTTTCTCTTGTCTATTTTATGTAATGATGAATTGATGTAAGAATGTTTGACTTACTTGATTCCTTGCTTGTTGTATGACATTGCTAGATTTTTCTGTTGTGCATTGCTTGAATTTGGATTAGTGGATAGCTGGAGCAGCGTGGGATTTCTTCTAATTTACTCCGAGAGACCAAGACCAAGATTCAAGAATCCCGGTGTTCTCTCTCCTTTTTTCCATAACCATGTTTGCGAAAAAGCATTTATCTGATTGCGAGAAAAGAAAAAAGAAGTGACTTGTAGATAAATTCATTGTAGCTCAAAAGGGTGCTATGGAACAATCTGATGTTGTCGTTGATGATTCTACAAATTTGGGTGCCCGTGAGAATGTTTCTAATATTGAAAATCCAAATGAGAATGAATGCAAATCTTCTACTTTTTAGATATTTACTAGCAAAATGGCACGTGCATTGCAACGGGAGATTTTGTTTTATAATCTTCAATGGCCATGACCATATTTTGCTGCGTCACCGAGGTACACTATGACTCTAACTTTTGTGAAAATCGTGAATAATTTTTTTCAAAGTCATGAACATTTTTTTAAACTCGTGAACATATATGAAATCACGAACATTTTTCAAAATCGTGAATATTTTTACAGATTTTCGAACATTTTCTAAAATCACAGAAAAATTGAATGCATGGACATTTTATACTAGTTGCAAACATTTTAAAAAATTGTGAACTGTTTTAAAAACATATTTCTTGAATAGGCGAACATTTCTAGAATCGACGAACATTTTTTGGGGGGGAAATAGGTGGAACAATTTTTGAAATTCACGAACATTTTTTATTTAACATATATTTTTTCTAAATGCATGATCATTTTTTAAATCCGTGGAGTGCCACGCATCTAACGTGTGGCACTTATCATTTGAAAAAATAAGGTTTGGGCCTCGTCCTGCCAAGCGGATGGGACGCATGCTTATTCTGCTTGGGCCAAGACTGAATGGGCCGTAGCAGCTACCGCGCCGCGTAGTTTTTTTTTTCTCAATCAAACGGGAAATAATACTACCAGTTCAGTGCGGGTGTCCTAAAAAAAACTAGTTCAGTCAGTGCGGAGCTCTGCTGTGGGTGCTCTGCCCCGCCGGTGGATCCCCATCCCATCCCCGGTCTCCCGCCGTCGGTCGCTAAGCGGCGGGCCGGCCGGCCGGGGCGGTGGACTATCCTAGCCTGCCATGGCGCCGGAGACGAGGAGTGGGAGGGCGAGGGAGGCGCGCGCATCGGAGACCGCGTCGCCGCCGCCGCCGCCGCAGCGCCCCCGGCTCACGCGCGCCGGAAGCAGGGGGGATGCGCCGACCCGCCGCCGCTCCGGTAAGCACAAGACAACACTCTCTAGTTCCGCATCGCCGAGTATACAGATTACGCAAGAAACCTGTAGCTACGCAATAACAGAGGTTAGGAGGTGTCTAGGGTTACAGTGGGGAGTAATCAGGAGATAATAAAATTAATTAATAGCAATGCTCTTCTCCTGCTCCGGTGATGCTTCTTTTATTTTTGACTACAGAGATGGCCAAAGTGATTTACCACTATTTCATTTCCCAGAAAATCTCTTACAGTTAGATTATCTGCATTCTGATTTGGTACCTCTGCTTGAAGCTGCAGATAATTCTTCAAATACAGATCTTTATATGGCAAGTCTTTTAGTAGCCTACTACTGAAACTAGATGCAAGAGAACAACCTTATAGCCCGAAGTCCAACTGATTGCTGGCTCTCCCAGCTGCAACACCTATATGGTTATTAGCCAGCCTTAGAGCAATCCAGTCCCATAAAAGGGGCGTTTTTATACATGGCTGGAACTTCTGATGCGTATAGTAAGTATCGAAGAGGTATTGAGGAGGTTTCATTTTCTCTGCCAGCCTGGTTTGTGGTGCTTTTAGCATCAAGGAAGGGTCATATGTATGGATGAATGTGTAGCGGTATTTATAGCATTAAGTCAGGCCCTTGCGTCAGGCAGGATTTGCTGGGCATGTAAGGTCGACTGGTTTGTGCTTTTTGTTTTTGTAAGTGATAGTGCTCCCGCGTCGGTTGAAAACGTGGACTCTAGATTTTCTTTAAGCTGTCAAGGTTCCTGACCGGTTTTGGGAACCTTCTAGAAGCTTCTTGAACCGGTTTTCATTAGTTTTTTCTGTTTCTTTTTTTCTTTTTCTTTCCTTGTTTTTCTGTTTGTTTATTTCATTTTTCAATTCCCTTTTCTTCTTTTTTTTTATTTTCTTTTTGTTCTTCAAAATTTCAAATTCTTTTCTAAAATTCTAAATTTTTTTACAAGTTCAAAAAATGTTCTTGTTATTAATATTTGTTCAGAAATACAAAAAAATGTTCTTCATTTTCGAAAAAATATTTGCATATTATAAAAAAACAAATTCATAAGTTCAAAAAAAGTTCTACTTTTCAAATTGTGTTTAGGAGTTTCAAAAAATGTTCCCATTTTAAAAATTTGTTCGCCAATTTCCTAAAAATGTTCATCAGACAAGATTACTGATGTTGATGGTGAGCTTCTGTCTTCTGTGGATGCAACGGAGTACAGAAGTATTGTTGGTGGTCTCCAATATTTGACGATCACGAGGCCATATATTTTCTTATGCTGTCAACAGAGTTTGTCAGTATCTCCAGGCGCCTCGAGACACTCATTGGTCTGCTGTTAAGCGCATCCTGCACTAT